TCGTAAGTAATTTTAATTTACTTAACTGTTAATATATGCAATGTGTTTTGTTTTCAACATTCAGCCTTTATTTGGTCATCATCAGCCCCACACCCAGGCATGGTCATAGGGATGCTGTGCACTTGACCCACCACATATCTGGGTTGAAGGCCAAAGAAGTATTCACTCATGTGTAGCATGAATTTTGCAAGTGCACCTGATAGGGCCAAACTACAACCAATGTCCTTCAACCTGAAGCTTGCCTTGGTCACAGACATGAGGTAGTTGATTCCATTTGGAGGTGGGGTTGTGACCCTTTGCTTTGACTATTGACTTCAGTTCATGAAGTACATTGCCCAGAGAATTGAATTTCTGAAACTGTTTGCATTTGACATCTCTCTTGTGTAATTCACATTTTCAGCTGTCTCTTTTGCTCACCACCATGCGTTCTATTTTCTTACAATTAATAGCAAATCCTTTTTTTGTTGCTTTCTTTGATGACCTTTTCTAATAGTTTTCCAACTTTCTTCTTGAATCTTCTGCCAAGATTCCCTAATGTCTGCAGCTGAAATCGACGAGCACCTGTCCTTTTTTTATCGATCCATATATAAAAAAAGCTTGCATTAATTTTACTATCAAAGGTGAGAAAAAGACTAATTTTGCGGGTTGGTCAGCATTTATGGGTTAATACGGAGGTTGAGTGCTGTCTATATACCCCTGTTTATGTATAATGAGCATTTACTGTAATCCAACTATATTTCATATCGGCTCACCTGACAAGTGCTATTGTTACCATGTAACCTAATATTACCTGCCACATGGTCAGGTCATCGGTGACAAAAACAATTCTTTCATCAGGCTTTTCTAGTGAGGAGAGTGGCTAGCAACAAAGAAGGACTAAAAACAAAACCTGTCAAAGTGCAAATGAATCTTCTTGTAAAGTCAATAGCAATGTGATAGATGAGGTTCTATAGCTATGGATGCAGCCAACCTAGGAGATGGAAATTTTTTATAAGAAAAACTTAAAATGTCTCGTGGCTAAGATTAGAACAATGGAGATTCCCCAGAAACTAAACATCATTGCTGGAAACTCATTATTAGAGCAGTGAGTGGAAAGAAAAATGAAAAGAAGACCTATGGTTCAATTTGTTGTAATGATATGTCCCATGCTCCTATCGTATATGTGGACTGACTATATCAGTAGATATATATAGTGAGCACAGGATATACTGGGGACTGGCTTTGGGAATTACTAGCCTCACTCAAGTACCACCTTTGCTTCACTCAAGTACCACCTTTGTCTGTTTGTAACCTCTATAAAGATACAACATTATCTATGCCAGTCTCTTCATATCTATCTATCGTAATGGAATGTCCCACACTCCTTATAGTCTATTGTGAGCTGACTATATCAGTAGATATATATAGTGAGCATAGGATATACCATGGACTTGCTTTGGGAATTACTAGCCAGCTACCCAATTCCCTGTCTTTCAGTAGTGTATTCTCTTTTACAATAAACCTCTCTTCCTTTCATTTGCGTCTGTGTTGCTGTTCCATTCACTCGAGTACCATCTTTGTCTATTTGTAACCTCTTTAAGGATACAACACAATTTAATATCATTTGCTGTTAAACAGTGGTGAAGAAAAAATATCTTAATTCATCTTCTTACCACTGGTACCAAACTATGTAGTGGTTCAAAGGCTCTCACCAGTGGGGAGTTTGCCATAGAGATGGTAGCTACAGTGAGTTTCATAACATTGGCAAACAGGACTGAAGTATTAACAGTATTGTAGGAAAAAATAAATGATGAGGGGGGGGTCAAAAAGTGCAGTGCAACGCTTGCCGACAGGCCAACTATTTTTCTTCTTCAGTCGCCTCAAAGAAATGGATTGTGTGGCTCCTTTTCTTGGCCATTACACTGGGCAGTTGTGAAACAGACACCAACCCAGCCGCACCTACTTCAACTTCACTTTTGTTTGTCTGTCAATCCATACGTCCAACTCTAACACATGCAGTCTGCTGAATAACTTCTCCCCAGTTGGTGCTGCTGGCACCCCGCTTTTTATGCTATTCCAAGATGGCCAAAATTTGCATGTGTGCAAATATCGTCTCATTTTGAACGAGATAGACATGCATAAATTGTGTCTTAAATAGTGGTCATATTTCTTTTTTGTCATCACTTTGCAGGCAAAACATGTTCGCGCTTGTTTCAAATTCTGAGGTAAGTCATGTCTTTCGTTACAAGTATATCCAGTGTGGTGACAACCATCAGGTACAATGGGGTACACTGGGCTCCATAGCCGTATATCCCACTGGGTAGAGGGTTTCCTAGACTGAAAGCCTAGGTGAAGTGCTCTCCCAATGGAATCAATGATATGCCTGTGACAAAGTTGGAGGGGTTTGGTTGTGGTGTGACCTGGGGAAGGTCTACTTTCCTAAGATGTTACAGATGAATGAATACCTCTCTGACTTTCAACCCAGATATATGGAGGGAACCAGTCAGGTGTTGAATGGTGCAGCAACACTATGACCACACCCGGTCATGGGACCGAGGATGATGAATCCTGATATATTATCTACATGTTTAATCTTTGAAACACATTTTTTGGGTGATGCAAATTGATTTTTCACTTTGTGTATATTAGTACAAAAGTGATACAAGATGGCAGAAGCATAACTTGACCTTTGGCCACAGATTTTGTTCCATCAATACCATCTTGGTCAGTTTTCTGTGCAGACATTAAAAAGAGAGAGAGCTGTCTGTTTTGCGATTGTCATAGTTACTTAATTTTCACCAAAGACAAAGGTTGATGTTCAATCCTAAGTAAATGTGAAAGACTTTGGATACTGATTCTCAAGACAGGCCCTCCCCTTTTGAAAGGTTGGCATATCACAATCTTTCTATTTTCATTTTGCTTTGGAACTGAACTTTAGAATTTGGCATTCTGGCTTCAGTTCGTTTCTCACCACCATAATGTAGCTTCCCTCTGCCTTTTCTATAAATATTTTAATAAAAATTTTTCTGATCACTAGACTTTATGAATTTAACTGCAGTACTAGATTGCCAACAAGGTCTCATCATTTGGTAGTTTAAATAGCTAGATGTAAATGTAAATTCTATGCTAACAGTTTCTTCTATTACACTTCTCACTTAAGGAACTCTCTTCCAGCTTCTTGCTTTCCCGTCAACTTTGATCTTCAAAAATTTAAATGCAATGTCAATTGTTATCTTCTGTCTCCTAAATTCCTGTTCTTTTATTGTCTTCTCTCCTTAATAGTAGTTTTTCTCATATTCTGTATCACTCAGTAACCTTTTCTGTCTTAGTGACTTTATTACCTTGCTTGGAGTGAAATGATTAAAAATTAAAAAAAAGTAAATAATGAACTGACTCGGCTAAATTTGGAAAGTACCAAAAGAAAAAGCACGTGTGGCTAAGGGTAGTGCTATTGTTCACCCAACATAAGGACCAAGATCCTTTCAAGGTAGAGAATTTCTGAATGAGATTGTCTTATGGAATACAAATCGAGACAGTAAAAAGTGCAGATTATAAGAATATGTAACAGTTGACTCTAGAATTGAAGATGTTAAAATTGTAGTGATTGTAGAAGGCATCCTCTGGGGAGTCTGTTCCACAAAGTAGCAGCTGTTAGAAATAAGCTGTCCAAATGGAACTTACTCCTTACTAATGGAATACAAAAGGAATGATGATGGTTTGCCTTTGTGTACATAGCATCGCAGATCTTAGATGTAAAGATTGACTAGTGGAACTAGGGAATGTAGTTTGTAGAGTGGGAAATAATTCGCTGCCCACAAGGCCGCATAAATGAAAAGAGGATTGGTTGACTCTAGATTTGGTAGCAATATTCCATTTCTGTGGGTGTCAAAAATAATTAAAAAAAAAAAAAAAAAAAAATATAAGGAGGATTGCCTCAAAACATAATTTTGAATATTTTGTAATTTGGTATAAATTTATTTTGCCATTATTTTGTTTAGCTTTCCAAGGAAATCCAGCTTGGTGATGTATCCCAATCCCTGATTGAAAAAACAGTTTCTTCCCGGAAGTAAGTCATTTTCTTTCTTTTTGCCGATTTCTGCATTTTAGTATTTTAATTTCTTTGGATCAACATAGAAAATTATTAGGTGGGTGTAAACAATTTTAGCACTTTTTTTTTTTTTTTTTTTTCTTCCAAAATTTGCTGTTGTTTAGTCATCCAAATATTTTCCTTGGCTTTCTATAACGTCATGCCTCCTTTCAGCTAAATTGTATATTCCATCATATTAGGTTGATACAAACATTTATATAAATTCATAGCATCATTATTCAGTCATCCAAATATTTTCCTTGGCTTTCTATAACGTCATGCCTCCTTTCTGCTAAATTGTCTATTCCATCATATTAGGTTGATACAAACATTTCCAGCATTTGAGAAAATTTTTTATTCATATACATTCATAGCATCATTATTCAGTCATCAAATTATTTTCTTAGTCATTCTATGACGTTACATTAACTTTGGGTTTAATTGCATACTATTGATAAAAAAGAAATTTTTTTAAAAGTTTGTAAAATATTTTCATTCATTTGTGAATGTGTCCTGAAAGTTTCATTAAAATGTTAACAATTATTTGATCTTTGCAAGAATTTCCAAAACAGTGTTTTTACTTGGAAAAAAGGAACTAAATTTCATAATACTAAGCTTTGCTGCCCCTGCTGACGCAAAAAAAAAAAACAAGATTTTTTTAACCAAAATTTAGAATGTGTTAAAGATTAAAAAATTTAATAAAATAATAAAAAAAAACTTTGACCTTTCCTCTTAATAATAACAAATATTTTGACAATAAAACTTTGTTTTTTATCAAGTTTGGTGCTTTTTTTTCATCATGCCATGCTTTTTTTTTTTTTTTTTTTTTTTCAATTACAATTGGAGGTACCTAGATTTATATAAAGCACTAGTCATAAATTGTAGACTTTCTGATTACAAACACCATGTTTCATATTGGTGATGGGATTGAGACATTGTGATTAACAAATAAAAATGTTTTCTATTGCAGCCTCTTTACTGGAGATGAGTTTGCTGTCTACCGGACACTTTGTTATTGGCTCTTCCTACATTTGAACCCATGTTGTTATTCACTCCCATCCATAAGTGCTATCGTTGCTTACTTCAACTGGTATGAGAAAAATCTTTTTTCTTCTTTCTTTAACTGTATTCCATGGTAAGATGGAAAGTCTTTTTTAAAAAAAAAACCCAAAAAAACCCAATTTACTAAAGTTGATTAGAATTGTTTCTGTTTAACTGTGTTTCAGCCTTTGTGATATTCCAGTTCATTCATTGAACTTTTTCTTTTCATTGGCATGTCCCAAAGTAGAGAGAGAATTAAGTTCTTCTTGTCTCTTGTAATATGTAACTGTTTTCATTGAACCAGAAAGGGTTTCTAATGATTCAAAGTACAAAATCCATACATCAGCTATACATGATAAGACTGAAAATCAAAAGAAAAGGACACCATCATGTTAAATATTTATTAAAGTGAGGTTACTATGACACTAGGCTACATCGGAAGGTGCAACAAACCTGCAAAACTCATTGTGCCTTCTCAGTCTAACATTTTCTATTGAAATGAAATCGAAACATTGTATCACTTGCTAGGTCTGCTGCTAGGAAAGTTGATTTGTTGTCTTGATAGATTCTGGCAGGAAAAATTGTCTATCTTACATATTTCTAAATCTACTCTTTGTCTATGCATTGAATGTTGCTGCTACATCTGGTCTGGTGCTTCTGCTATATATTTAAAGATTCTTGATAAAATCCAAAAAAGAAGCTGCAATGTTATCATCCCTGACCTGGCATGTCAGCTTTGTTCACTTTCCACCTATGTAATATAGCTTTCCTTTTCTATAAATATTTTTATGGTAATTGTTCTGAAGAGCTCTCCTCTTTTTTACCTTGACTTCATGAATTTAAGTGTAGTACTAGATTGGCAGTTAGGTCTCATCATTTTACTGTTGAAATGGCTATATGTAAACCTGTTATATTTTAATAGTTTTTTTTCCTCTCACATTTCTTGATTATGGAATTCTTTTCCAGATTCTTGCTTTCCTGTCAACTATGATCCTCAAAAATTTAAATGTAATGTCAGTCATCATCTTCTGTCTCCATGAATCCTAATGTCTTTATTTCTGCTTGGATCTTTTCTATTAATTTGCTCCAAATAATGTATAGTTACTTATTGCAAATATTAAGTCACCTAAAGAAAGCAAAAATTTTAAATCAAAATTTTGGCACTCTTTTGAAATTATAAATTTTAAATCAAAACTTGTTTAGTTTGCCTCACGACAACTCCAACACTCAGAAAAAAAAAAAGAAAATTACCAAAAATCAGGGAGTTATTCATATTTTGTAAGTGTGGATGATATTTGAGGTACTTAGAAGGAATTTTTTACAATTTAAAAAAAAAAAAAAAAAGAAAAATTTTTAAAATCTGTTTTTGCTTGTTTATCAGGGTGAGTACAGCCAAAGACCCCATGCTTAGAAATATTGATTTTTCTGAGCGTAACTTAGATGTGGCACAAGGCCGAAAGTATGGGGCACCTAGTGAGGATCAAACTCATTTTTCAGTCATAACTGATCTAGCAAGACAAGCTTGCTAACCGTTACACCACGCCGAAGTGCCCAATAGTTATTTTCCAAGCGTAGCTTAGATGTGGCACGAGGCCGAAAGTATGGGGCACCTAGTGAGGATCGAACTCGCTAATCATTCGTAATTGTTCTAGCGAGACAAACTTGCTAGCCCTTACACCACCTGGAGGTACCCCTCAATGCTTAGAAATAATGCACATTTGGAGTGATCACAAAGGTCAACCTGACTGGAGTGCAATGGGAAGGACCTCACTCTGGGAGAATTTGGTGCGAATTTTAGTAAATATAAATTCTTTTTATTTTGAGGTGAATTAACAAAAAGGATCCAAAATTTATGTCCACGTGATATTCAAAAGCATTTTGGTCATATGTCCCCCCCCCCTTGCTATTCCATTTTTGAGCAAACTAGTTTATACAATTAACAAAAAGGATCCAAAATTTATGTCCACGTGATATTCAAAAGCATTTTGGTCATATGTCCCCCCCCTTGCTATTCTTGAGCAAACTAGTTTATACAATTAACAAAAGGATCCAAAATTTATGTCCACGTGATATTCAAAAGCATTTTGGTCATATGTCCCCCCCCTTGCTATTCCTTGAGCAAACTAGTTTATACAATTAACAAAAGGATCCAAAATTTATGTCCGTGATATTCAAAGCATTTTGGTCATATGTCCCCCCCCTTGCTATTCCTTGAGCAAACTAGTTTATACAATTAACAAAAAGGATCCAAAATTTATGTCCACGTGATATTCAAAAGCATTTTGGTCATATGTCCCCCCCTTGCTATTCCTTGAGCAAACTAGTTTATACAATTAACAAAAAAGGATCCAAAATTTATGTCCACATTGATATTCAAAAGCATTTTGGTCATATGTCCCCCCTTGCTATTCCTTGAGCAAACTAGTTTATACAATTAACAAAAAGGATCCAAAATTTATGTCCACGTGATATTCAAAAGCATTTTGGTCATATGTCCCCCTTGCTATTCCTTGAGCAAACTAGTTTATACAATTAACAAAAAGGATCCAAAATTTATGTCCATTGATATTCAAAAGCATTTTGGTCATATGTCCCCCCCCCTTGCTATTCCTTGAGCAAACTAGTTTATACAATTAACAAAAGGATCCAAAATTTATGTCCACGTGATATTCAAAAGCATTTTGGTCATATGTCCCCCCCCCTTGCTATTCCTTGAGCAAACTAGTTTATACAATTAACAAAAAGGATCCAAAATTTATGTCACGTGATATTCAAAAGCATTTTGGTCATATGTCCCCCCCTTGCTATTCCTTGAGCAAACTAGTTTTATACAATTAACAAAAAGGATCCAAAATTTATGTCCACGTGATATTCAAAAGCATTTTGGTCATATGTCCCCCCCCTTGCTATTCCTTGAGCAAACTAGTTTATACAATTAACAAAAAGGATCCAAAATTTATGTCCGTGATATTCAAAAGCATTTTGGTCATATGTCCCCCCCCCCTTGCTATTCCTTGAGCAAACTAGTTTATACAATTAACAAAAAGGATCCAAAATTTATGTCCACGTGATATTCAAAAGCATTTTGGTCATATGTCCCCCCCTTGCTATTCCTTGAGCAAACTAGTTTATACAATTAACAAAAAGGATCCAAAATTTATGTCCACGTGATATTCAAAAGCATTTTGGTCATATGTCCCCCCCCCCTTGCTATTCCTTGAGCAAACTAGTTTATACAATTAACAAAAGGATCCAAAATTTATGTCCCGTGATATTCAAAAGCATTTTGGTCATATGTCCCCCCCCTTGCTATTCCTTGAGCAAACTAGTTTATACAATTAACAAAAAGGATCCAAAATTTATGTCCACGTGATATTCAAAAGCATTTTTGGTCATATGTCCCCCCCCTTGCTATTCCTTGAGCAAACTAGTTTATACAATTAACAAAAGGATCCAAAATTTATGTCCACGTGATATTCAAAAGCATTTTGGTCATATGTCCCCCCCTTGCTATTCCTTGAGCAAACTAGTTTATACAATTAACAAAAAGGATCCAAAATTTATGTCCCGTGATATTCAAAAGCATTTTGGTCATATCCCCCCCCTTGCTATTCCTTGAGCAAACTAGTTTATACAATTAACAAAAAGGATCCAAAATTTATGTCCACGTGATATTCAAAAGCATTTTGGTCATATGTCCCCCCCCTTGCTATTCCTTGAGCAAACTAGTTTATACAATTAACAAAAAGGATCCAAAATTTATGTCCACGTGATATTCAAAAGCATTTTGGTCATATGTCCCCCCTTGCTATTCCTTGAGCAAACTAGTTTATACAATTAACAAAAGGATCCAAAATTTATGTCCACGTGATATTCAAAAGCATTTTTGGTCATATGTCCCCCCCTTGCTATTCCTTGAGCAAACTAGTTTATACAATTAACAAAAAGGATCCAAAATTTATGTCCACGTGATATTCAAAAGCATTTTGGTCATATGTCCCCCCCCCTTGCTATTCCTTGAGCAAACTAGTTTATACAATTAACAAAAAGGATCCAAAATTTATGTCCACGTGATATTCAAAAGCATTTTTGGTCATATGTCCCCCCCTTGCTATTCCTTGAGCAAACTAGTTTATACAATTAACAAAAGGATCCAAAATTTATGTCCATTGATATTTCAAAAGCATTTTGGTCATATGTACCCCCCCCCATTTTTGCTATTCCTTGAGCAAACTAGTTTATACAATTAACAAAAAGGATCCAAATTTATGTCCACGTGATATTCAAAAGCATTTTGGTCATATGTCCCCCCCCCTTGCTATTCCTTGAGCAAACTAGTTTATACAATTAACAAAAAGGATCCAAAATTTATGTCCCGTGATATTCAAAAGCATTTTGGTCATATCCCCCCCTTGCTATTCCTTGAGCAAACTAGTTTATACAATTAACAAAAAGGATCCAAAATTTATGTCCACGTGATATTCAAAAGCATTTTGGTCATATGTCCCCCCCCCTTGCTATTCCTTGAGCAAACTAGTTTATACAATTAACAAAAGGATCCAAAATTTATGTCCACGTGATATTCAAAAGCATTTTGGTCATATGTCCCCCCCCTTGCTATTCCTTGAGCAAACTAGTTTATACAATTAACAAAAGGATCCAAAATTTATGTCCACGTGATATTCAAAAGCATTTTGGTCATATGTCCCCCCCCTTGCTATTCCTTGAGCAAACTAGTTTATACAATTAACAAAAGGATCCAAAATTTATGTCACGTGATATTCAAAAGCATTTTGGTCATATGTCCCCCCCCTTGCTATTCCTTGAGCAAACTAGTTTATACAATTAACAAAAAGGATCCAAAATTTATGTCCACGTGATATTCAAAAGCATTTTGGTCATATCCCCCCCCTTGCTATTCCTTGAGCAAACTAGTTTATACAATTAACAAAAGGATCCAAAATTTATGTCCACGTGATATTCAAAAGCATTTTTGGTCATATGTCCCCCCCCTTGCTGCTATTCCTTGAGCAAACTAGTTTATACAAT